TGTGTATTGCCCTTCTAACAATCAAACAAACAAACAAAGAGGTCGCAGTCCTGAAAGGTAAGATTGATCAAATCTTACTAACATATGAAAGCTGCTTATTATCTAACACTAACACTAGTCTAAGTTTAACTTAGTGTTTCAGCCACCTTAATATTTATACCAAGTTTTTAATTCAAGCAATGTTGCTTTCAAGTTTCAGAATGGGGATAGATACCAAAAAAAAAAAAAAAAAAAAACATTCAAAAAAAAAAAAAAAAAGAAAAAAGAAAAGAAAACGAGATGCAAGTGACCCCAGTTTGTATTGTTGTGGCAAAAAATCTAAAAAATAACAAATCACTGTTAATTTTTAAAAATAATTACACATTCATAATCTACTTTATATACTTTAATGAATGAATTATAATTTTTTTTCATAAATCTGTAATTCCTTTAAGATAGTACTACTAATTTATATGAAATACCCCATATGGATGCAACACAACTCTCAATAAGAAAAGAAAATTGTTTAAGAGCTCTAAAACAATAAGCTCTAATAGCTCTAAATATACTGTACCTCCAATTGATTTGATATTTTGCTCTCTTTTTCTTCTTCTTCTTTTTTTTTTTTTTTTTCGTCTCACCATATTTGTTATTTTTTTTTTTTTCCTATCAGCTCATTACAGTTGGCTTAATGCTTTTTTTTTAGTGGTATGTATCACCACTGATAAGAAAAGATGGATAAAAATTATATAAATAGTAAAAATATATGAATCTCTTTACGAATAGAGAAATTGCATTACAGATGAAAATCATAATGAGAATCGGATTTGAGTTCAAGCCAATGAGGATGGAGGCAGCAGCATGCAAAACACTCCTATACGTTTTAAAATTTTTTTAAAAAAATAAAATAATCGCTTCATTTTTTTTTTTTTTCATTTGATCGTTTTTTAAGATTTAATTGAATCATAAATAACAATTCTTGATTACTTGGATCCGGTTTTTAACAATCTCCTCAAAAAATCAAATCAAATTGTACAATTTGAACTTGTCCAATTCAATTTATTAATTTTACCAACCTTTTTAAACACTCCTAACAATTTCTCTCACAAAATTTGGGATAAAAAATTCCAATATAACTAGATAATAGCCAGTTGCTACGTATTCATATTGAAATAATTCAGAGTGGTCCTCTGCATAAGTGCAATGTGTTATGAAACCGACGTTTCGTTAAGTACAATTGAAATGAAAGGCCGCCTCCCTCAGGTCTTCTTATTGGACTAGAGGGTCCAATTTAGTACAATTTGGGTTTATCTCATGTCCATTCTAATAATTAATACCCCTCTATTTTTAATCCATTTCAATTAAATTATTTACATAAAAATATAAATTGAAGTAACATTAGTAACTTGTTATAAAATAAAATTTAAAAAATATATATTTAAAAATATATATATTTGTCCTCTATTTTTTTAAAAAAAAAAATTGTGAAATCTCACAAGGTGGGTTTGAGCAGATTCCCACTGGAAAGAAATAAAAGGAGAAACAAATTACAACAAAATCAATAATGCACCACTTGATCTTCTCTTCTAGCCTTTACATTTTGAATTGTAGCCTCTTTGCTTTTTGAATAATGCATATTCACAATAATATAAAATTACTTTTTGAGAATAGTTTTGATACATTGGGTTTTGATTTAAGGACTAAAGTAAGAAAACTTAAATTTTTAGAGATCAAAGTGAGGTTTTTTTTTTTTTTTAAGATTTAAACTACTCTCTTAAACCGTGATTTAAATTGATAATTAGACCAAATTAGAAAACAACAAATAATTAAGGGATCAAAGTTAGATAATTTTCTCTTTATAGACCAAAGTGAGAAATGACCTATAGTTCAAAGGTAAAAGTACAACTTTTTCTAAAATTTGTACTCAATGATGAGATGAGGAAGGGCTATCACTTTAAAACTAAAAGTTGTTGAGATATATTTTACTAAAAATAAATAAAAAAAAAAAGAAAAAAAGAAAAAAAAAAGAAAAAGAAAGAAGGGTCACCATCATATCAGTTTGGTAGATAAGTTTTTTTTAATTATTATTATTTAAATTTAAAGAACAAGTCTTGTTTTTTTTTTTTCTTTTTTTTTTTTTTTTAAAAAAAAAATTTTTTTGTTTTGTGTTGAGTCAGTCTCTTTTGTTTTGAGTCAGTCTCTTTTGTTTTGGGTTTGTCTTGTTGTATCCAGTCAGTCCTGTTGTATAGGAGTCGGGTGATTCCGAGGGGTGTTACCTCGGGCATCACCATTTAAAATGGTCCGCGGCCCGTGGACGGCTGGAGGTGAACTCGGTTACTTAGGCTGGTTAGACCCGGGCCTAAGCCCAACCTAGGTCTAGGCCATCATTTTGAAATCCAGCTCGGTTGGCCCGGTCCATCGACCCACTTAAGGCCCACTCAAAGCCAGGCTCGAGGCCCGGCCCACGCCAAGGCCCAAGGCCCGGCCCACGCCAAGGCCCAATGTCACTTTTAGTAGAAAAGAATAAAATTTTGATAAAAAAAAATAATGTTTAGGCCTGCTCAAACTTGAGTCCAGGCCTAAGCTCATGGGCCCGCCTGAGGCTCGAATACCCCCTAGGCCTGGACTTAATTTTTTGATCCATGGACTAGACCAGCCAGGCCTAAATTTTGGCAAGAACTTGGGTGACCCTACATGGGCCGGTTGAGCCCAATTTACACCCCTAGCTACCACTTGATAATGTACTTCACCAATTACCAAATGCCATATTTTCTGTTATTACTCAATATAAAATCATAAATTCTACCATCTTCACCAATCGTAACACTTTTGGAGCATTACTGACCATTCCTTGAGAGCACTGAATAACTTTTACCATAATGGGTTTATGTTCAGTTGGTAAAACTAATTATTGGAGCTGATGTTGGGCCTATGTAAGCCATTCATATCGTTTGGCCTGGTGAAAAGATCACTCTTGTAAAAATTAGATTAATGAAAATATTATAGATGTATTAATTATTAGATTATATTTGTGCTCTAAATAATAAATGATCTTTAATCAAAATTATAATTATCGTCTATTTTTTATGATAAATATAATCTAAGCATGTGATTACGTTCAAATAATTTAATTTTTTATAAGAATAATATTTTCATCAAAGATAACAAGAGTGATTGGTTGATTGATCATTAAACTTGAAAAGTAAGTCTAATTTTTTAGTTTGAATAGAACTACTCTTATTTATAAGAGAAATTAGCATTAGATCCCTAAAATTTATATAATTTACTTCATTCTCCCAAATTTCACAAAACTCTTACTAGCCTTCTTTTAATTTTGAGTTCTAGTGAAATTTTTTGATTTTGAGTTCTAGTGAAATTGTTTGCCACTGAAGACACTTTATTATTTAAAAAATAACACTAACGGAACATTTTTTTTAACCATTAGATTTAGTCACTCTTAACCTCAATTATGCTACATAAGACACTTTTCAAAAATTGAACTATTTTTTTTTATATAGGTTTATTAAAAAAATAAAAAATATTTTGACCTCCTAAAATCTATATAATTTTTTCTGCGACCCATTAAAATTACTTTTTTATTTTACAAATCAAAGTGGATATTTATATTTTTTATTTATTAGATTATGGTAGCCAACAAAATGGCTTAAAATGATAGTCTATTTAATTTTATGCTAAGATCTAATTAATATTTCAAAACTTTTGTAAATAATGATAAAATGACTTCTTCAATTTGTTGATTTTTCTCTTCATGAAATACTTCTTACACAACGCTTATATATATATATATATACATCTTTGATTATTTATGTACCAAAACTAGCTAAATTTATTTATTTATTTATTTATTTTTGTGTCTATGCACCCATCTTAGTTCCACCCCAAGATACACTTAGCTATCTAATCGGATCACATTTGTTTTGACCACAGACTTTCAGTTATCTTTCTTTTTGCATTCATGTGTTGCTCAATGGATTCTACTAGATAAACAATTCGGATAATTGAAGTAGGCTCCGAGATATGCCTATCAAGACCCAACGGGGCCTCTCCATTTATTTATTTATTTATTTATTTTTGTGTCTATGCACCCATCTTAGTTCCACCCCAAGATACACTTAGCTATCTAATCGGATCACATTTGTTTTGACTACAGACTTTCAGTTATCTTGCTTTTTGCATTCATGTGTTGCTCAATGGATTCTACTAGATAAACAATTCGGATAATTGAAATAGGCTCCGAGATATGCCTATCAAGACCCAACGGGACCTCTTCAATTCCAATTGGATAGAATCCAATCCTCTATAATTAGGATAAATTACAAATAAATTTTTTGAGTTTTACTTAAAATACGACTTGTCCCTTATTGTTCGAAAAATTATAAATATTCCATCGTCAAAAAAAATTTAAAAAATGATAGAATTAACAGAAAAAATAAAATTATCAAAATTATTAAATAAGATATATTTTTAACATCATAAAAAATTATTAATTGACTTAATGATTTATTAATAACATAAGTCATTTATTATGAGGTGAAAAATTTTAAGGAATGGGAAATAATTTTCAAAATTATAGATAACAATTTGTATTTTAAACAAATTTCAATAGATGTAATTGTAATTTACCCTTATAAATATGAAAAAAAAATTTACTCAACTATACAATAAAATGATCATGCATATCAAAGATCAAAATTAACTAAAAACAAAAAATTCTTTCGGATTATATATATCTTTGTAACAAAAGGACATGGGTTTGGTTATGGTGTGCAACTTACACCTTACACCTTATATCTTACACTTACACCTTACACTTACACCTTTTGTAAAAAATTAAACCTTACACTTACACCTTTTTTGAGGTTGCACACCATGTGCAACCCACTTACACCTTACACCTTACACTTACACCTTATACTTATACTTACACATTACACTTACACTTTTTGTGTAAGTGGCACATGGTGTGCACTTGCACACTTAAGAAAACTCCAAAGGACATTTGTATACTATCAGAAGAAAAATGAAGATTTTGGCATACATTTATTTAACCTCTCAACTTTTTCCATTCCTAATCAACATTGTATAACGGGTGAAACAAACAGACACGACGATTCGTCTGTATTTCCAGAGCAATACTCATCCTCATCATCATCCTCCGCAAAGACTGTACACTTTCCAGAGACTTTATTTCAGTCTAGTCATCATGTTCTTCGATTTTCCTTAGGACTAACATGCTCTACGAAATAGAACCAAGGCTTAAAACCACGAATCAAAAAACTCCCACTTTGGAACGTCTAATTACTCAAAGAATCAAACGAAAATGGAGTCTTCAACAGATCATAAGGCACCCACAATGCATCCAATGGGCACGGCCGGTTTGCGTCTAGTCGAGCCCACGGTTTCCCTTTACCACTCCAATGCAACAGACTCACTGGACCCGGATGCAAATCCCTGCAAAGTCCCCGGAAATTGTCTCCCCCGAGACCGTGTTGATTCCATCGATGATCCACCGGAGCTATTTTTCCAGCGAAAACAAGCAAGAAAGGTGGTAATGACCCGAGTTCGTATATTCTCATTCGCTTTTGAAGCTCCATCCACTCTTCAATCTTGGTTGTGTAGTCACCCGCTCGCCATCGATCGAGATCGATGACCATTACACCTGTGTTTTTATTTCTATCAGCGAATCAAAAAATTAAATAAATAAAAAAATTTGATAAAATTTAAAATGCATTACATATCACTGAGACATCAATACATAAATGAGAGGGCAACATAGTGAACCCTCCGGTTCTATTGGCACATAAAAGTAAGCCTGTTGTTTATTTATTTATTTTCGTTAAGTTATATCCTACGGACCCAATGAACTAATTAATTTGGAGGGCTAATCTCTCCTTTTATTAGTGGAGGGTCCAATTAAAATCGGGACAGATATGAACTGATTTTAAAAAAATTATTTGTAGTTAGGAGATTTTAACTTGTGATCATGGGGGGATCATACACAAGCCTTGAAATTAAAGGTAATTTAATATCTCATTTGTCAATTAACTAGTTTAGTTGAAAATCAAAAGCTTTATAAATTATCATATCATTTATTATAATTTTTTATTAGTCTTTCTATAATATATAAAAAAAAAAAAAACTAAAAAATTATTAAAACGTCTAATTCCCAAATTGCCCGTAAATCATATGCAACCACTAACTACGATTGCTAACCTAAACAAAAAATAATTGCATCATATCATAACCAGAAAAAGCAAAAATAAAAACAAAACCAACAGCCAAGAACCTGTATTGAAGTAACAAGCCTTGCGGTTTGCAAAGGTGAGTGAGAGTGATGGATTTGACCAGAAAGTTGGTGTAAAATAGAAAGTGAAATTGGCATTGCAGTATTCAGGTGCGGCAAGAACTACGTCTTCGTCGCCAAAAGGTGTGGCAGCGAGCTCGGCAATGTCGTCGACGAGGACTAGGTCGGAGTCAAGATAGATGACTTTGGAGACGCAAAGAGGGAGAAGGTTGGGTAAGTAGGAGCGAGCGTAGTTGAGAGGGCAGTCGAGGGCGGAGCGAATGGAGGTGGAGATGAGGCCAGCGACGGAGGAGTCATGAAAGGGGTAGATTTGGAAATTGAGATATGGGAAGGAGGAGGAGATGGTGGAGCGTAGGAGGGAGGAGTTGGAGGAGGAAGAAGAGGAGACGAAGTGGAAGATGATGTTTTGGGGGCAGGAGGAGTGTTGGAGGACGGAGAGGATTGCGGCCATGGAGCCACGGATGTAGGTGGCGTCCAGGGTCATTGCCACGTGGACAGCTATGTCCGAGCATATGAGTATGTTGTTGTTGTTGTCTTTCTCAATGTCAAGGATGGATGGACAGTCTGGAGAGTTGTAGAATTCTGGGGCTTCTCTGAACTGTTGAGAGAGGTTGTTGATTGTGGTAGTGACTGTTGCAGTGGTAGAAGAGAAAGTGAAGAAGGAAGTGAGGAGAGAGAAGAGCAGGGGTTGAAGAACTGGTTTAGGCATCATGTGGTGTGTAAGAATTGGAAATGGGAGGGAGGGGGAAGGGGTATGTTATGTTTATGAGAGAGAGAGAGAGAGAGAGAGAGAGAGAGAGAGAGAGGACTAGGCGGAGGGACACAGTTTGATTTGTTTACAAGGAAGATGCTATAGAATTTTTGTACAGAAATATATATATATCTATATATATAATATAGTGATATGGCCATAACATTTTTGTTTGAGAAATTATCAAAATAGATTAAATTGTGTAAAAAATATATAGTATTTAAATTTTAAAAAAAATATCGTGATTTTTACTTGAGGAATTTTTCACCTTTTCTTGATAATTGGTTTGAGTTGTTGACTTCCTTTTTTTTTAATTATAAATCATTATTGTTGTTTTTTATAAGTAAAATATGATTCTTACATTTTTTTTTTTATAAATTATAAAAGTAATCTATTGATAAATATTGTTTATAGACAAATGAGGCACACTAGCTATTATATGTAAAAATAGAATGAGAACATGTATTACATTCTATTATTACATTCTATTCTCAATTAGGGCTATCGATAAAGTTTATTCAATTGATCAAATTATATGTTTCGACTCTCTCATTTTCCTTAGTTTGCAATGGTATCCAATCCAAGGTTTTCTACCCTAGTTGTAACAAACGTTATCACGATCCACTATCATCTTATCTTTTTATTTTGACTCTAAATGAACTTTCATATGCTCTTACTCAAGCAAATAAAGACTCACAAAATTCATTCGATCTGTTTACAAAAAGGAGGCTTGGGAACCTCACATATAGTTTTTGTAGACGATATTGTCCTCTTTAGTCAAACTACTTTACCTCATGCCAGTTATCTCTCGGAGTTGCTCAGAACATTTTTGTTTGGGAAATGCTAGGTGTCATGAAGAATTTTCATGAAAACTGTCATGAAAATCATCTGCACCGTTAGATCAGGTATGTGTCTCATGATCCAACGGTGCAGATGGTTTTCATGACAGTTTTCATGAAACGTAGCAGGACCTTTTTTGTTCTCAATTTGAACAAAATATAAATATTGGAAAATCCAAACTTCTCTTCTCCAAGAATACCAATAAATCACTTAAAAAATATATGTGTGATATTATTGGCTTCGAAGCCACATCACAACTTGATCATTACTTAGGTGTTCCTATTTACGCGGGCTGGCGCACAAAAATTCAGTTTCAATATTAGCTTGACAATATTCAAGGAAAGCTCTCTGGCTAGAAAGTCAACATGCTTATTCTAGCAAGATGAGCCCTTCTTGCTTCTACAGTTCTCAAATCAAAATACTTCCTACACACTTCCTTTTGGATACCCAAAGAAAAATCACACCATAGCCTGCTTTGAAAGAACATTCTTAAAGCTCGTAAATCTCAACTCCAATAAATCCTTTTGGTATGACAAATGGCTCTCCATTGGAACACTTTGCTCACATTTTATCAGTCCAATCCAATCTTAGACTCCTGGAAATCTCTAAAAATTAAGGATGTCCTATCTTTAGAAGGGATTCGGATCATATGGAAATGAGACCCTAAATGGGTCTCAACGCCCGCATAACAGTGGTTGTTGAGCTTCACTCACGGCAGCCACTCTAAATCTGAGATGGATGCTAGTCAGCGCAGTAAAGTCGTAGTTTCCAATAGATTATGGCATGCTTTTTTAGAGATTTAAGGAGAGGGGATTAGATTGTTAGTTCATGTGATTCACATAAATTATATTGATTTGAAAATATATTATGGAATTAAAAGACTAAATGGGATTATGAAACCCTTCAAGAAAACAACTAGCATTTCCAAAGGGGGATGGGTGGTTGCTGTGTAGGGTACAATAGTCATTGTCATTCGATTAACGAGACTTATTTCGATAATCTGAACTGTTTACTTTTTGAGATACATTAATTAAAACCAATGTTTTATAAAGTAACCGCAACTGATACGTAACAGTTACGGTTGTGATAATTACTGTCATCTGTTATGGCCGCTATAGTGGTGTAATAAAAACTAACAACCATAATAACTGTCACCGTTATGTAAAAGCCGTAACGATCATTACATTGCCCCTAAAGTACCGTTACGCTTCTATTTTTTTTAATTTTTTTAATATAAATTTTGTTTATGATTCTATTTTCTTTTTATTTTCAAGTTACATAAAACTTCAATAAAAAACCTATCTATATATATTTTAAATGTCCAATCTTCAAATTGTACAAGATTTCATTTCCCTTTTCACTTAATTATATTTAAATATTAACTTGTATCTATTTCTCTTACATTAAATTTATTGAACAAAATGTAGATTTCATGTTATGTACCCTTACATTATTATGCTGACATTTTGTATTTTGAACTTATGTTTATGAGGCTATTATTTTTAATATGGGCATTTTTTTTTTTTTTTTTTGATCAGCAAAGAAGGGAGACTTTATTGATGAAATGAGCCAAAACAAGCAACAAAATACATCAATAAAGGAGGGAAGTGCAAAAAGCATCATAGCAAACACTCCACAATCCCAACTAGGTTGGCACCAAGGAGGAAGCACAATCATCTGCTAGCACTACACCCACAGATTGGCGAGAGACCAATACAAAACAAAGAAGAAGAGACAAAAAAAACCTCCCAATCACACGGCATTCCAAATCTGCCAATTTCACACCAGTAGCAAACCCAAATCAAGATTTTTGAAGCCCAAGGCTGTTGCACTCTCCTAGTGTAACCCAAGTCCAAGCTGCCCAAACAGCAACCGGTGATGATTGTTGAGTGCTCCATTAGCAGCCAGCTAAGCACAGAATTATGCCTCCAAGCCAGAATTGTGCTGCAACAATGGCCAATTCTGAAGGCTGACTACCAGCACACCTGCGTGGGATCAGAGGGAAGAGCACAAACAGAACAGGCCACCCCCTTCAGCCATCAACACTTGCAGCCAGCAGAGCTTGACCTGCGTCTATAAGCAGAACAGAGTTCACCAACTAAGATCCTAGACAACACCTGACTTGTGAAAAATTAAACACGACATCATTGACAGAAAATGAAGCATCCCTGAATTGAGATCTCATCCACATTGCTAACCTCACCTTGATACATTCACACAGGGCCTGAAAATTGGGTTGGACTGCCTTAAACACACACTCATTTCTATAACTCCACACAGACCACAACACTGCTGCTGGGAGGGTCTTCCACACCAGATTTACTTTTTTCCTAAACTTCCAACCCAGCCACCAGATTAAGAGACCATCTATGGATTTGGTAATAACCCATTGAATACCCCACCAATCGATAATAGCAGACCAAATTTTCCACGTAAAGGAACAGTGAAGCATAACATGGTCAAGAGATTCTCTGGCCTCGTGACAGAATATACAATTAAGGACTTCTTCCCCCTCTAGAATTCCAACCCTATGAAGCAAATCTTTGGTTTTCAATCTTCCTCTCCAAGCTAGCCAAGAAAAAAATTTGGCTTTCGGTGGGGAAAAATTATTCCAGATAAGATCGACTGATCTGTGAGTAGGACCATCATTGAGCATACCCCAAGCATAAACAGCATTAACCTTAAAAGTACCTGGCTGAGCAGCCTTCCAACCCAAACTGTCCGCTACTTCACTTCTGAGAAGAGGGCCTGACCCCAGAGCAGTGGTTAACCTGACCAGCTCTCCTTCTTCCCACGCCCGAAGTGGTCTGTTGAAGTTGAAAGCCCACCCAGATTGACTGACTCTTCTGGCTACTTGAACATTCAGGGAAGTCTCTTTATCAATAACCAACTGGAATAATCTAGGGAATTGGCTTAAAAGATTTGTAGAACCCAACCAATTGTCTCTCCAGAAACTAATTCTTTGCCCATTACCTATTAAGATTTCCACATTATCCTTGTAAAATTGGATAATACTGCCATTCCTCTGCGCCACTGATAAGATGTCTTTCCAAATCTGGGATATAGGACCATGAACTTCCTTATCAGGGTTCAAGGAAATCTCTTTATCATTAACCAACTGGAATAATCTAGGGAATTGGCTTAAAAGATTTGTTGAACCCAACCAATTGTCTCTCCAGAAACTAATTCTTTGCCCATTACCTATTAAGATTTCCACATTATCCTTGTAAAATTGGATAATACTGTCATTCCTCTGCGCCACTGATAAGATGTCTTTCCAAATCTGGGATATAGGACCATGAACTTCCTTATCAAGGAACCATCTACCCCCATCTGAACCATACTTTTCGCAAATAACCATCTTCCATAGTGCCTCATCCTCTTGCCCATATCTCCACCACCATTTTAAAAGCAAACTATCGTTGGCTAAGCTGATGTTTTTTATCCCCAGCCCTCCTTGTTTCACACTCATACACACTTCTTTCCACCTGACTAAATGCAACTTCCTACTACGCTCAGAGTCACCCCACAAAAATGATGCTTGAATCCTATCCATCTCTTTAGCAACACACGCAGGTATTTTAAAAAGAGACATGTAATACACAGGTAAAGCAGACAACACGGACTTAATGAGTGTGACTCTACCAGCAAAAGATAACACTCTTCTCTTCCACCCAGTTAACTTTTTCTTGAAATTCTCTACAACTGGCCTCCAAGTCAAGCTCCTGCTAGGGCTGGCTCCCAGTGGTAATCCTAGATACTTCAATGGTAATTTCGTGCTTAGACAATTCAATCTCCTAGCAAACTCGTCGACCTCCACTTCTGCCACACCCACCCCACACACAACACTTTTGGCAAAATTGATCCTTAGTCCTGAAATTACTTCAAAACACCTAAGGATTCTTTTTATAGCCAAAATTTGTGACCCTTCAGCCTCACAAAACAGCACTGTATCATCAGCAAATTGTAGGTGAGATATATTCAACCCATTGGCACCTACAGATATGCCTCTAACCAAACCCATATCTTTAGCTCTTGATATGAGTATATTCAGACCCTCAGCTACAACATTAAACAAGAAAGGGGATAAAGGATCACCTTGCCTTAAACCTTTTTGAGGGCAAAACTCTGTTGATGGTGACCCATTAACAAGAATTGACACTCTAGCAGAAGAAATGCATTCCTTTATCCATTTGGTCCAGGTAGGTCCAAAACC